CACCCTTTTTGAAAGAATTTCTCATCCACATGACACCTGGCACTTACATTCAGAGTCGACCACACTAGGTAATTTGAATTAGTCTCACAAGAGGTACACTGTTCATTATGTATAAGGCTAATACATGCTTAAAGCAAAACCTTTTTTGCACAACATCCCCTAAGTTGGAGGCCTAATATACTGATGCTTTCCGATTAACAAACATAATTATATGGTAGGCGTCATAGAGGTGTTGTGGTCTAATGAATATGTCTTTGGACTGTGGATCACAAGGTTCTCGACTTGAGTCCCACCATGGCACTTATGTCCTTTGGCAAGACATTTATCTACATTTGCCACTCTCCACCCAGGTGTTAAATGGGTACCTATAGGAAGGAATTCCTTGATTGCTGTGAGCATCCAAATCGGTAGCCTAGCAGAGCCGGTGTAATATTGGAGCGCATTGAGCACCTTGAGCACCTTGATATGTGCGCTATAAAAATATATTTTACTAATTAGGTATGTCTTCATCAGCTCGAGATTATCAAATAGCCTGCTATTTCTGATTTGGGAAATAAGCCAGAAGTTACAAATCGCGTCTTCATCAGCTCCTGATTCGACCTCGAAACTCAAACGCATCTTCATCAGCTCAAGATATTTTGCTCAGCCTTCACGCATAGTGCAAGTCTTCAGGCTGGTGAAGACGTGCCAGACAAATAGCGGGATATTTTGCAAACTAGCCAAAGATATCTTGGGAAGATTATCTCGACCAAATATCTTGCTAATTGCAACTGCAGGCTGATGAAGATGCAAATTAGCTAAAATAGCGGGTGAGCTGATGACGACAGGTCTATAGTTTCAATGGGTGGTATTCCGGTAGCGCGTACTAAGTTAGTCTACACTTTTATGGAGTGCCAGTTGCCAACTCATTTACCATGTACAAATTATTTTAATTCTTCAATGAAAAGTGTCCAAAAAGTTAATTTTGCAATGAAATGGGAAGAAAAAGATGATATGAGTATGAACTGAATTTCAACAAAGTATTTGGTAGATTATCTTTCTCATGAATATTAAAGGAGGAAGATGAAACCTAGCATTTCATAAAAGTGTGAATTAAAATTCTTGTTTAGTCTGGACTTAGTCCCGGCTTAACTAGTGAAAATACCACCCATTATCTCTCTGCACTTACCCTCCTGTTTGGCCAGATGAGATGTCCAGCATTCTTGCAGGAGTAGAGAGCATTGAGGACATTCATGAAGCCAGCCTGGAGCTCTTCATCTACCTCTCCCTTCCATGGTGTTGGTTTGTTTTTGGCGCAGGGTGGGCACCGGTAAGGGACCGAGTCGGGCAACTCTGTCAGGATGCGGTACTGGTCATCTGTGAAAGAGGGGATAAACATGTCGAACATACAATCACAAATTCGAAGCCAATGACACGCCAGTAACCAACAGCTACATTTGGAACAGTAATCAGTAAATGGGGGCCCCATTTTTTTCTTCTCCTATATATATATATATATATATATTTTTTTTGGGGGGGGGGGGAGGGGGGACAGAGTCTGGTAACTCTGTAAGGATGCGGTACTGGTCGTCTGTGAAAGAGGGGATAACCATAAACATACAATCACAGATTCTAAGCCAATGACATGCCAGTACAGTTAACCCAACAGCTACATTTGGAACAGAAATCAGTAAATAGGGGCTCTGTCAGAATGCGGTACTGATCCTCTGTGAAAGAGGTGATAAAGATACAATTACACATTCTAAACCAGTGATATGCCATTAGACAAGAGGTTAACCCATACATTCCAACATTTGAAAATAAGAATTAGGCATTTCTAGCAGGGATCTGAGGCGTTCACACGGCCTTACCATGGCCATGTATGCAGCGGCAGTGTAACTGGCAATACGCAATAATCAGTACGAAAAAAGGGAATACAAATTCGCTGCTTGATTCTGCAGCCATTTAATGCATGCACATAACGCACGCAAACTCCAAATCGTGGCACATGATAAAACAAGCTAAATTTGGCTTCAACAAAATTTGAAATCTGAAAACTCTGAAATTTTAGGTCCTAAGAATCCAGAATATCAAAATATTATGAATAATTAGGAAGGGTTGGCAGGTATTTTTACCAACAGCTACATTTGGAACAGTAATCAATTAATGGGGGCTCGATTTTTGGGGGGTATATTTTGGGGGGCTGTAAGAAGTCATACGGTATGTGAATGGCACAGGGAGGATAGCATTACAGGATAGGGTCCAGTAGCTGTGTCAAAATGTTGTACAGATCATCTATGGGAGGGGTTAGAAACATGTTACGATTGTTTTGAAATGGATGTCTCTGAACAAAGGAATTTTATCAACAGATGTATTTAGAACACAGTGGTTCTAAACATCAAAGTTAGGAAATATTGGCTCTACAAGGCTGATCTGCTAAATTTTGAAAGACTTGAATTATTAATTATTTGAAGGATATAAGATCATTGGGTGGTATTCCGGTAGCGCGGACTAAGTTAGCACTTACTAAGTTAATCCACACTTTTATGGAGTGCCTGTCGCCAACTTATTTACCCTGTACAGATTATTTTAATCCTTCAATGAAAAGTGTCCAAAAAATTAATTTTTGCAATGAAATGTGAAGAAAAAGATAATACGAGTATGAACTGAATTTCAACAAAGTCTTTGGTAGATTATCTTTGTCATGAATATTGAAGGAGGAAGATGAAACCTAGCATTTCATAGAAGTGTGAACTAAAATTCTTGTTTAGTCTGGACTTAGTCCCGGCTTAAAGGTAAAGACCAGTATTGGAAACGCCCCAATTTCAAAAAATGAAATGGAAGCTCTTATTACCAATCATGTGAAAGAATATGTTTTGACTAAAACATGATGATAACAAATTTGCCGGGAAACCGCCTACTAATTGATATATTTGGTAAATTAGTTTATCTATTAGTGTGTGATAGGATAAGCGCACGAGTCGCGCACGTGTGCGTAGTCCCATATACATCTTTCTGTGTACAGTGCTTGTAACTTTACCAAGACTGGGCCAAATTTCTTATCATTCTGATGATTCCAGAACTTTGCAGTACACACATATGCTAGATGATCAACCTTTTCTGATCGATTCCACGTTTCTTTCACAATGCAATCGCATGACCATAACTGGTCTTTATCTTTAACTTATGAGAATACCACCCAATGAGAAGGGCCTGAGGCTTACCTGAGAGGTTCTCACACTTGGCATGGACCCATCTATTACAGTCTGCACATTGCACCATCTTAGACTCAAAGTCATCGTCTTCATAGCACTTCTTACAGACTGGGCAGTAGTTACCTGTCAAGAATATAACCACATTATAAGAATTATTAATACTGAATGTACTAAGAATCAAGGTCATCGTCTTCATAACACTTCTTACAAACTGGACAGTAGTTACCTGTCAAGAATATAACCACATTATAAGAATTATCAATACTGAATGTACTAAGAATCAAGGTCATCGTCTTCATAACACTTCTTACAGACTGGACAGTAGTTACCTGTCAAGAATATAACCACATTATAAGAATTATCAAAACCGAATGATCTAAATATCAAAGTCATCATCTTCACAGTATTTATTACACACAGGACAGAAGCTACCTGTGACTGTGAGGAACATAATACCGTAACAAATTGAAGCAAAAAAAAACCTAAATTGTAATGATGTATTGAAGTCGTACAGTATAGAGATAATCAGATGAGATCTACTGACCTTTTTTCAGGACACAATACAAACAAATCATGAATAAATTTGCAATAACCATATGAAATGGTGAAGGGTTAGTTCACATTTAACATACAAACGAATATAAAAGAACAGATTATTATCAACAGTTATGAAACTTATTATATTACTTAACAGCAAACAAGTACGATTTAGCTAATATTCATACGCAAAGTTGTAAGCAGAAATAGGGTTATAAAGATGGACAATCAGTGAGACAATAAAAAGCTTTATACAACACCTACGTGGATCCTTGTCATTTGATTGGAGGATTGTTGGTCACATGATATTCAATAGAAGTTATATTGCACGGTTGTGCATTTTTGGTTATATGCGCCATGCATTTTTGGTTATATGCAGACTGCGTACCTCTCTGCCGCGCGCGCGCGTATCCCTGCGTGTATCTGACGCGAAGGCAATCTGAATGTAATTGAGAAGGCTTGACTCCAACTTTAATTTATCTTTAATATAAGGAGTAAAGCATAATTTGTTGAATAACGTTCTACTGGATCTTCTTCGATGTTGTATAAAACAAATAATGAATGTTTTTCATTCGTTCAATGGTGCGCATATTTTCATTCGTTGAAAGATTAACGTTAATTCTATTCAACTCTGCTGACGCCTCGTTGAATAAAATGTTAATCTTTCAACTCATGAAAATATTCACACTATTGAACTCATAACCATTCATTATTTGTATATCATAATCAGCCCTCACCTGCCAGAAGCTGACTAGATTATCCACCTAGTACTGGACAAGTGAAGTATAGTGACCCAAGAAAAAATTACCAATATATTTGTTACCATCATTTACATTTCACTAATGAGTAAGATATAAAACACATAATATTATTCTGACCTTTCTCAAAGAGCTTTCCACATTCTTGACAGTGTGAGAAACCATGCATCCACTGAGCTTTAGGGTCTGAGCCTGGAGTGGTAGCACCACAACTCTTGCATCTAACACAGCGAGAACACACCTGCAATGGGGATAGCATGAAGAAAAGACTTGATCACCAGTCTTTTAACTAATCTGACAACAATAAATAATGTACACTGAGCTTTAGGGTCTGAGCCTGGAGTGGTAGCACCACAACTCTTGCATCTAACACAGCGAGAACACACCTGCAATGGGGATAGCATGAAGAAAAGACTTGATCACCAGTCTTTTAACTAATCTGACAACAATAAATAATGTACACTGAGCTTTAGGGTCTGAGCCTGGAGTGGTAGCACCACAACTCTTGCATCTAACACAGCGAGAACACACCTGTAATGGGGATAGCATGAAGAAAAGACTTGATCACCAGTCTTTTAACTAATCTGACAACAATAAATAATGTACACTGAGCTTTAGGGTCTGAGCCTGGAGTGGTAGCACCACAACTCTTGCATCTCACGCAGCGAGAACACACCTGCAATGGGGAATGCATTATTAAAAGAATTGATCACCAGTCAGTACTCATATTGCATGAGACAGATCAAAATCATGATTAATTTTTCAAAAGGGGGGACCTAATTGACTATACAAGCAATGCAAGCAAAAGAATAAAGGAACAGACACAGAAATTGAATTAATTGGATGAGGCAACAACCTAGCATGTATCTGATAGGGCTAGGGATTTTTTTTTGTTTATTAAATATTTTAAGTAATGACACATGCAATTCAAATGATCAAACATCAAATGTTTATCCTAATTTTGTTACGAATTATAAAGGATAACAATTCATGAGCCCATTTTGAATTTAAAAAGACAAAAAAAATTTTAACTTTAAAAGCATGACAAACAATTTCAAAAGTTGTGCACTTACAAACAGGGCAAAGAACGCTCTTCTTTTAAATGTATGTATTATCCTAACCTGCAAAACACCAACGATGTCAAATGCTAATAACATGGCATAACACATTTACAGAACAAATTAATCATAATAATAAAAATAATAATTACAGGTGGAAAAACACCCCAAAACTGGCTCTTTATGTTTGAAATACTAGTATAATGAAAATAAGCTCTACTCACCCATATTTTCCTCTTCTTGGATGGTTTCGTGGGGTAGTTAGGACCAAGGCACTCTGCATGATAGCTACAGTGACACTTATGACAAGTCAACAGCTGCAAAAACAAAACAAAGCAATCATTATTCTCACATCAGGGGGGTGTTTCATAAAGCTGTTCGTAATGTTACGCATGACTTTACGAACGACTTGTATATGAAAAGCCAAACGGGATGCTCAATCATTATTGATTTTTATTTATTAAGTTGTAACTGTGCAGATGTAGATTAACATTCTTATTATAACAAACATTTTTAATGCAAAGTATATTTTTTGCCATAATTTAATTGAGGTTATTAGAAATATCAGAAACAAATTAGGGCATCCTATCTGGCACTTCATATACAAGTCATTCGTAAAGTCATGCGTAACTTTACGAACAGCTTTATGAAACACCCCCCAGGGCTGATAATTTGAGCACCATGTAGATAAACTGGCTAAAAACAAAGCTTCAAGCTCTCTGAAATGGCTATCCCCACCTATAATTTCCTGTGAAGTAGGAACAAAGAATAAAACTTACATGATATTTAACTTGCATTAACGTTTAAATATCTGGGCCCCATTTCCAAATGACAGTTTTTGTTATGAGCTGGTGAAATTCTTGCTTCTGACAGGCTGACAGATGCATCAAGATTGGCTGCAGACAGAAAGACTTGGCATACCATCACCATACAGAAGCCATCATGAGGCCCCTGGCCTGCGTGGACGGCATAAGTCAAGTAAGTCAAGATGTCAACATTTATCTGATATTCATCTGTGACTAAAAAAATCAGACTCCGCACTTTTTGCATGACATCATTCTGGGATGCTCCTATAAGAAGAATGCAACAACAACAAATGTAAGAATATTTGATGACTCCATCAGAATTTCTTTTTCTTTTTAGACTTTGTTTTTACCTTATCTTGGTGATCACAGACGTGGCAGAACCGACAGTTCCTACAGCACCAGTTCTCCTTTTCGTCAGGTAGAGGGCGCTCATCCTCTTCCAGGCAGAAGTCATGGAAAGGCTCGCAGCAAACGTTGCAATACACCAGCTTCATGGGCAAAGAATAGAATGTGGTGAGGCAACATATATACTTATCTATTTATCCATGTACATACTTATATGTATATATCAATCTTTATACCTACCTACCTATCTATGTATGTATCTTTCCATCTACTGTATGCATGTATCTATCGCTTTCTCTTTCTCTCTCTCCCTAGATGATACCCTTCAAACTGTTGGGATACAACATCTATCAACTAATTTCCATTTCTGAAAAATCAGCTGTGCATTGGTTTGCTCGGTTTACTTCAAAGTCTTAAACAACTGATTATTTTTTCCCCATTTCCCCCATTTTTTCTGTGACATTCTGCTAAAGGATTCATTTAGTCCAAGATACAGGGTTAAGGCTTGTGTTGAAATTGGTTTTAGGTTGGATCTAGGATTAGGTGAACTGTCAGTTCCAGCATTGAAGTTCAAATTCAGTAACAATCTAAAACAAGTTATAGTGCAGCAGTTGTCCCCTGTGCATGTGTCGTAAAACTGATTTCCAACACAGCAGCACCCCTTCCTCCCCCTCTTGTTACAAATAATGCCTACTCTGTCTTTTTCATGAAGCAAAACATATCATGAGAGTGGTGCATTACCTCATGTTTGCCATTGCTGCCACATAGATAGCATATAGTCCTGGGTATCATAGGGTCTGAAGAAATGATCACCATTCCACGCTTCCATGCAACAGACATATCATAGTCATCCTGTAAAATGAAAGAAGAAAGAAGAATGGCTACTTTGGTAATCCAAATTTCTTTTAAAGAGTTAATATATCACAACTTATTTTGTAAGAGATAGATTGCGAACTTGCGATTGATTGGAGGACTTGCGATTGATCACAACTCTTTGTAATACAGGGCCCAAGGGGGTGTTTCAGAAAGACTAAGATCGACTTTAAGTTGGACTTAACTATGATCTCTCAATTATGATATTAAGATAATGTTTTTCCTTCAATAATGAACTATCAAAAAACATAAATTCTGTAGATTTGTGACCACGCTTTGTACATCCCTTGAGAGACACATGCCAGCAAACGGTGAGAGCAAACAGTGGCATGAACGGCCTGCCATAGTTAAGTCCAACTTAAAGTCGATCTTAGTCTTTGTGAAACACTCCCCTGATCTATTATATAATCTCATTGAAAGAGAAGGTACAAGGAAGGAAAAGAATCTCATGAGAAGCATTCAGAAGAAGAAAAATATATATTGGAAGAACTTCCCATCTAGAACATCACATTGTGCTTGGTTGGCTTTAAAGGCAATCTGGCTATCATAAATGAGTAAATGTAACCGGTAATTTGAGGACAAATTTGTGAAATTTTAAAAAATAACCTCCACTTAAATTCATATAGTTGAAACGATTTCAGAAACTTGGTGTATGGTGAACTCGCTTCCATAAAGTGTCAAAGAAGACAAAATCAAACAGTTCATTTCAGAAAATCTGGTCAAACCTCCACCTACATCATAAATATTCATTCAAGTTCAGGTGGGTGTTTCACAAAATTTGTCATCAGTGACAAATGACAGTTTTTGTAATAAGCTAGTGAAATCCTTGCTTCTGATTGGTTATCAGCAGATTTGTCACTGAATTTTGTCACTTGTCATTGAAAAAAGGCTTTGTGAAACACCCTCCAGGTGTGATATGACAGTAAATAGATCCAGACTAAGAGATTAAAGAAATTTGGTCCCAAGGTTCTTGCATCTGTTCAAATTCAGATAGCTGCAGCCTGAAATGATAGTCTCAACTTCAACTGCATGAGGTGCACAACTTTTTTGAATTACTTTATACAGCTTTACAAAACAAATTTACAGTGTATGCACCTATTTATTTATTTTATTTCCAGGCAAGATGATAACATACAAAACATCACAAGGTTAACAAATGTTAGAACATACTGTAAACATAATGATATTTAGCACCAGCCAATGCCTGAGGATCACCTAAAAGAATTTAAAAATTCTGTCTAGAGGCTCTCCACACTTGGAGAGCAATGTAAAGCGCTTTGAGCATGTTTATATAAAGGCGTTATATAAATATCAATATGTATGTATTTTGTGCTCACCTTAAAGTCAGTCTTGATGAAATGTTTACCACGGATCTTCTTAGAAAACTTGACAGTCCTCAGCGACTTGGAGTTCGCATCAGTCTTCTCACCCTTATCATGCAAGCAAAAGGCATTTTCAATTCTTAATTTATTTGTTATTTCAAATTTTAACCGTATTTGAACACTTCATACATTTTTCATGTGAAATAATAACGATGTGTACTGTTTCCAAACCATTTTTAATGACTGTATTTAATGAATACAATGACGAATATGAATAAATTGACATTTTCAGGAGTTTAGTTGCATCTCTATATAAATTTGTGTGCAAATTTATGGCAGTAAAAAAATTGATTTCTAAATGCAAAATAAATACTTAGTTTCAATTTCAATTCCAATTTTTTTGCCCAAAAGTACTACTGAAAAATACACAAACAAATATGCAAAATTAGTGTTTTGTGCATCTGGGACGCTTATACAAATTTTGTGACAACTTTTTTGCAAGAGACAGAGAAAGAGAGACAGAGAGAGGGAGAGAGGCAGAGAGAGAGAGACAGAGACAGACAGAGACAGAGAGAGAGAGACAGAGAGACATACAGAGACACAGAGAAAGAGAGAGACAGACAGACAGAGAGCGTAGTAAGGTCTAGCTTACCCCCGCTTGGCCCTTCTTATTGCTCGGGACCAGGGCTAGTTCATCCAGCACGTCCCCTCCAGCTCTCTTTATCCTGGCCCCAGCAGGTCTAGGAACAGATGGAGCTATAAAGCAACAAGAACAATATCACAGTTGAATGTGATGCAGGCCATCTCTAGATGGAATACACTCTTTTAATTAATTTCAAGATATTTCAAAATAGACTAGTTTGATCAGTGAATTTAATGTGGACTTTCATATACATAAGTTCTGTTAAAAATCATTAAATCAATTTTTTACATGAAACATTTTTTCCCCTTTAATTTTTGAAAATAAAATGACCAGTCCCCTTCAAAGATCATATAACTGAAACAATGTTGAATTTACAACTGATCCAATAATTTGTTATTTCTCCTCATGAACTCAACTAATAAATAGCATTTTTCAAAACTGAAGTGAAAAAGAACAAAATTCACCTATCACTATACCCCCACTACCGGTTTCAATGATCAGACCAGACGCTTGCAGCGGAATACTGCCGATCTCCAAAGCCAACGGAGTAAGGACAAGAAGAAGAAGAAGATAGGCATAATAATAATAATAATAGCCTAATAGTCCACTCCAAATTTTATTAAACCGAAACAGAAATTCTTTTTGCCCAATTGATCGTGAGCCCGGCAGCCACTGAGCAGCGCCAGATCGACGTTGCTCTATCCCTTATTGTTGAACGCCAAACAAGGTAGCAACAACTCCATCTTTTAACGTCTTTTGGTATGACGTGGCCGGGGTTCGAACCCACGACCTCCCGGTATAGTTGAAACAACTCTCTAATGTTTGAAACTTACCCTTTTGTGCTTGCTCTGGGACAGCCATGAGTTTCTTGGCTTTCATCTGCTTCAACCTCCACATCTTCATCTTGACCAGATTGTGACATTTACGATGTCTGAAGACAAAAAGATGAAAGGTGGGGACATGAATTTCAAAATAAATGTTAAAGGCATCGTTTAACAATGTTAAATCTGAGATGCATGGCCCTACTTGTCATCAGTGTCTGTGATATGGTGTAATAATGAAGCCCTAAAAAATTGCGCTTCAAAATGATTATGAAGTGCCTCAAAAAAGTAAAAATCTTTAGTGACCAGTTTTACCATACTCATTGTTCCCAATAGACTGTAGTATTATAAAAACCGTTTGGAAAACAAATTTTTGAATTTTGATTTCCAATCATAAATATCTTGATAATCAGACAGGCGATCGGCTTGTAAAAGTCATGGGTTCCTGACTGACCTAAACGTTTATAATTACGATTGCAGCATGAACTAAATCCAGGATTTTGTTTCAGAATTTGAGACAAAGTTACCCAATCCCTTTAAAGCATGATTGCCAACCTTTCTTCATCTTGACCAGGGCCCCATTTCACAAAACTTGTCATCAGTGAAAAATGACAGTTTTTGTTATAAGCTAGCGAAATGCTTGCTTCTGATTGGTTATCAGCAGATTTGTCACTGATTTTGTCACTTGTCATTGAAAAAAGGCATTGTGAAACGGGTCGCAGGTTGTGAAATTTAGGGTGTCTTGACGACAAAAGACGAAGTGTGAAGACATCAACTTCAAAAAATGAATTTAAAATCATGACTGCCAACCTTTCACAGCAAAATCAGGAATTTCTCATGGTAAAATTAGGAATAAAGTTTATTTGTATGATTGTCACAAAGAAGTTTTCAAAAAAAGAGAGGAATCTAGGGTAAAAAAAACAATAGCTTGAAGGCAAAAAATTCCAAGGGATAAACTTACATGCACGCTTGCTTCTTGGTACCGCGACCACCATACTTGGGCTTGTCCCTGAAAAAAAACCACATACACAGATGAAATGGTTATTCTTAGCTGAATGAGCACTGCATGCCTGACATGACTTGAAGTTAAAGGCCCACTGCACTACTTGTAGCTACTTGCGCCCTCTATATAACAAACCATGCCTAATCGGTGACCATTGGTCCCCCATGATTCTCTATTTCTTTTGTTAACTGAGAGCCGAGTTGATGAGATAACCACCTGTCCAGTGACCTTGCAGGGCAGTCTAATCCCTCCTGTGAACTATGGCAGATACGCTTTAAGGTAATGGTCAATCAGAGTAAATCAATTTGTTTAATACCCAAGTGATCTATTCCCATATGGTCTACTATCCATATGGTCTAATAATCATTTGATCATGAATCATAATAATAATAATCATCAAGGTGAACAAAACGGGCTTTAATTAGACAAACTGGAAATTAGCCTAAATGGTCATTAGATGAAATAATAATAAATTAGAAGACAAAGTGATTATTAGAACATGTGCATAGTAGACAAACTGGTTGTGGACCAAACAGCAATTCACCGAAACAGGTATGATGGAATAAAAAGGAAAATTACTTTCCATGATCATTAAATATTATCTTAATTTTCGTGACTAAGAAAGACAATTACAGAAAGAATCATCAAGCCCTACTACATATGACAGATTGATACAGTAGGGGTGTTTACATAAGGTGATGCTGGTGGTGGTGCAGATATAATAGAGGTGGTAATGATTATGATGGTGATCATTTTTTTGGTGATAGTGGTGGTAGAGATTTGATGGTAATCTTGGTGAAAGGTGCTGTTGATGGTGGTGATGATGATGATAATGATGATGATGGTGATAAAGAAAATAATGCTGAAAGATGATAATGACGATGATCATGATGACTTTAAAGATGATGACGGTGATAACAAAAGTGATGATAGTGTTGGTGATGATGGTGAGGATGGTAATAATAGTTGTCAGAATGGCTGCTGTATTTGTCAGTAATGACACGGGGGCAGAGGTGGAAATATAGTGATGGTTAAGAATAAAGATGATGGTTAAGGAAATACTACAGAGATAATGTCTAATTGCTTCACACCATATCCCACTGAGTAAAACATAACATACTCACAGGCAGTTTGCACATTTCTTGCAATCATATTTGCGCAAGCAGGCTGAGCACTGTCCGCACCTCGACCTCCTCTTCACATTAAGCTCCTCATCTCCTTCAGGCATCGACGACCAGGGCGTCGACATCGAAGCCATCTCAGACTTCTGCTGCAAGGCTTTCTTGAGCTTCAAGACTTTTTTTGCCTCTTTCTTGGTAGCAAAGTCTGAATAATTCTTCTCCAGATAATTGGCCTCCTCGTCCATGGTGAGGAACCCCTCCATGGCACGCTTCTTGGCCGTCGGCTTCCGCTTTCGGGTGGAGAGTCGGGGCGACGTTTCGTTGCCATAGAGATCACCCTCTGACCCAGTTTCAGTGTCACTGTTGTCATCTACAGATAACATTTTATGTAGCAAGTATTCAGTCATAGTGCATAAATTCATGATTCATTAGGTAACTTTGTATACAAACAGGGGTGATAGTGAGCACTAAACCACCCCCCCCCCTTTTGACTAAAAAAAAAGGAAAAAGAAACATATTTTGGGGAGAAAAAAATGGCATCTAACAACATTCCCCCTTATGAGTAAGAAAATTGGAAAAAAATAGGGGGTAAAATCAGGAAAACCAGGAAGAAAACAAATCGGGGAAAAAAAATCATTCAGGAAACTGATTTAAATCAGGTAATTATCAGGCCTGATACAAGGAAGTGAGATAAGTTGTGGCTATTTTATAGAACATTTACACCGCTTGAATGGTCAGTATTGACCTTTGACCTAAGGACAGACTCACCATCACTCGTGAAGAGCTTCTTCCTCTCCTTGAACGGCAGAGCACTCAGTTTGAGGCTATCATGGCTAGTGGGCCCCTGCCCTTCGTAGCGGGCTGGTGAGTAGCCCAGGGCCACGGATTGTCTCCTGCAGACATGCTTGATGCGAGGTCCACCCGACACAGCAACACTCCCCACGGTGACTTCATTGGCAACCTGATATAGAGAGGAGGCAAAAGGGACTAAATGAAAGCCAAGATAATTCTTTACATTACTCAATAACAACCTACTGTACCTTTCAAATGGATGTGTCAATTATTAATGATGACATTATCTCCCCCCCCCCCCCCTTCCCCTTCCCCCTTAAAAAAAAGTCTTCACTTATGTTCTATGAACTGATGCCAAAGTTAACAGGTATAAATTACAAATACCCGGGGTTGATTTTTGTTTAATTTCAATTTATGTAGACTAAATGATTGCCAAGCCAGTATACCATAAACAATTACTTTTTTTTGGAAAAATATGAACCTTTGCACCCAAATCTATATAAAAAAATATATCCGACCAACAGAATCAAAAGCTATTCAGCGGTTTCACAACAGAAAGCATGCAATCCTATGAATAAATTTTCTTCTGTGAGCCTAGAGTGCATTAACTCTTATCCCAAAACACAGATTAAACACCCGTTTATTATTCTCAAGGCTCGTTCAGATAAAACGTGGGAAAACCGCTGCACTTTTTTTTAAATGGTGATGTTATGTATTAGGTAACACAGAGCTGAGTGAATACATGCAAGTCCTTTGCAGTTGCGATTCATTTCTACCTCAACGCATTTTGAACAAGCCTCAAAGGGATGACATCATCAAGGAATATAATAATTTGGATGGATATCTTTAGTCCCACCTGGTGTACATTGGCGTTGGATGCTTCCGTCTGATCAGGAGACATATCCGCTTCCAAAGCATCAGCCATCTGACGAGACACTACAAAACAGAAACACACAAAAACCATTGTTAAGGGTTTTATCATTTTTATGGAAGAGGGGGGGGGGGAGCAAAAGTGAAAACATTCACCACTCTATGGAGAGAAAAAATTTGCCTGGGTTAGTAACTTACAAATACTGCATATGACAGGGCTAAAACAAAATATCCTGATAGGAATGGTTAAAGAAAGAAAGGCAAAATACTTAGCCACATTAAAAGACTTCAGATCCTCTTGAAAGATTTATTGGAAGAAAAGGAGAAGGTTCCAGATCTAGATGGAAACCCCCAAGAGCTAACTGGGGGGGGGGGGGGGGAACATTTAGACATGGAGTAGAATGACACTGAAGAGTGTACCAAAATGGCAGAGAACATGTTGATGTGTGGGAACGTTGCAATCGGCCTCCAAGCTGACAGAACATACCTTGATATGTACTGTATGTCGATAGATATGAACTTCGGGGGAATTCTGGTTTGCTCTAGCAGAAAATATGTTTTGCAGAACCTGTCACGAAAGGTGACCACTTCATTTTTCTGTTTCCATTCCATAAACAGATTTGACTTTACTTGCCTAATATCAGTATGTATTCCTCAAAACCAGCAGCACTTACTGAAGCTGACCTATATATTTTGTTATAGAACATGGACAATCGTGCCTTTTGGCTCAACAGGGCATCGTTTCACGAAACTGTACAAGTCCAAGTTCACCAACATCCCATTGAAACATGTATTACATTTAATAAACTTGATGTAATGTGTTACCAGCGAAATTGTACTTATGATTGTTTTGTGAAACGCTGTCCTAATCTTTTGAAAGTGGTAAATTATTGACTAAGTGATCCTTGTACTTATTACATTCAAAGCGCTTTACAACTACAAAGAAATCAGGGATGCCAGTTCGAATTGATCAGAGGGCCTGAAAATTACCTAGAATGAAAATATGAAAATAACTTGCCAGGGGCTTAATTCAGGCTGTTGCCTCAAAACTGGCAATCCTGAGAAATGCATTGTACCAAAAACTTGTGGGTTGGACTAACTGAAGTGATAGAGCTGTGACTCACCTGTGTCTTGTAAAGTCTTGTCTGCAGGACTGAGAAGTTTATCATGTAGAAGGCTCTTCATCCTGGACAGGCTGTCCATCTCGTCTTCCAAGACAGCTCCAAGTTTCAGCTTCCTTGCCGCAGATTTTTTCAATTTCATCCCCTTCCCTTTCTGCTTGCGTTGCTTCGCCTTCAAAAGCAGCTTGGATGAGGCATTCTTCTTCCGCAATTTGATTTCTTCCTTGGTCATGCCTCCCTTAGCTTTCTTCTTTTTCTTTTTCTTTTTCCACTTCATACGTTCAACTTTTGACATTGGCATGATGCTACCTAATCCTACAGATAATGTGTTGTCCAGAATGTTCTTCTTTTTCTTTTTTTCTTCTTAATTTTACTGTTCCTTTCATACAGCTCTGATCCTAAGGCAAGTAATTGGCGGGAGTTGGGAGAGAGTCCAAGACTGTCTCCTGACAGGGCTAGGCCTTCGGGTTCCTGGTCATCGGGTTCCTGGCCATCGGGTTCCTGACCATCGGGTTCCTGATCGTCAAGCATTGCAACTTCGTTCTCTTTCCCGGAACCCTTGTAAACCTTTTGGAGCATTTTCTTCAAGTTACGGAGTCTGCATCTCCTGTTAGTGATAATTTTTCCCTTCTTCATCCTTTCTATCTCATCAGGAGTGAGCTCTAATCCCTCCTTCGCCTTTCTATACAGCGCCCTCATTGATGGTAGTCCGTCAGCTGGAGCTGCCTCTCTATGCTCTGTGACTGTCTTGACGTAATTCTCCTTCTCCTCCAAGAACTTCTTCATCAGCCGCTCACGTTCCTGTTCCAACAGTTTGGCTTTCTCTTCTTCAGTCAGCTCTGGCTTCTTCTTTGCCCGAGGACTTGAGCTGGTTGCATTCACCTTTGGACTTCCATCCGCCCTAGGGCTCATGCTATTTGGATTAACAGGGGCACCATCGCCAGCTTCACCTTCCTTCAGCAACCTCTCAGCTCTTTGCTTTGACCGAAGTATTGCCTGCCTCTCCGAAGTGATTCTCCGGTAACGATCCATCTTTTCCTTCTCCCCCGGAGTAAGATCCATTCCAGTCTTGGTCTTCTCCAATATTTCACCAACAGTGGCACATCCGTCGATTCTGCCTCGGATGTGCATGAGCTCCTCCCCATTCCTCAAGGTCTGGAACAATACCAGAGGAGATGTCCTCAAAGCTGCAGATTCTTCTTCATTTAATGTGTCCTTCTTTACAACCTTCTTGTAAACGGCTCTCAAGGGTTGCCACTTGGCTTCAGTTGTGCCTAATAATGTTTCCTCCTGAGATTCAGTAAGGGCTGTCCCATTCTTGATCTTTGCGTTGATCATTGCCAACAACCGTTTGTCCTCCCTACATTTCTTTTCTTCTGACTGTGGGCTGTATTCTTTATCAGTTTCATTTTCAGACTTCACCTTAGTTTTTCTTTTCCGAGAGGATTTCTTTTTCTTAATTGATTTCGAAAATTCATCTTGAAAAGCAGTGTGTTTCTTTTCTTTCTTATCCTTGTGTTTGGCTTTCTTCTTCTTAGTGCCTTTCATTGACAGTTCAGTTTGATCTGATTGGGGTGGCTTTGAGGGTTTCTTGATATCGTCGTTCTCCGTTGCCTGTAGGCTTCCGGTGGTTAAGAAGGAACCATCTAAATCTGAAGGAATATCAGACCAGTCACCGGAGTCCTGGCCCGACGGTGATGTTAACAGACTGGAACCAAACTCTTCTTGCTCAATAAACCTTTTTGTTGGCTTGATTACCCGCAACGAACGGGAGCTCACAACAGGCATGATGAAGCCAAAGCTGGGCTTCAAAGGTTTAGGCGTCTTTGGCTCAAGTTTGCCATCTAACTTCAGTTTTTTCTTAGATTTCAAACCAGCTTGTTTAGAGAGAGTCCCTTTTTTGGCTGGAGGAGTGACCTTCCGATGCAGGAACTGAAGGTCGACCCCTTTCATGTCCATATCAGCCAGCTTGCTAGAACACTTGACTGATCTCTTACCAGGCGTATCTGAGCCAAAGACCTCTTGATCCTTCCTCTGAGCACCTTTTGCCTTTTTCACCAGCTCCATGGCTTTTGACACATTGACTTGTTTGGATTTTGGCACACAGATCACTTTCCCTCCCTTGTCCAATGTTCCATTTTGAGCTTCAGCCATCAACAGTTTCTTTCTTCCCCATGGCTTAAATTTCATGGGTGACGATTCGGATTTCTTGCCTCTTGCTTTCTTGAGTAACAGCTGTGCCTTTTCTAGCTTTGCCTTACCCCACGGCACCCCTGTGTCCTTCCTTGGGCTTCCGCGTCCTTTGACAATCTGAGCTTGCTTTCCATCACCAAGAAGTTTTATCTTGAATTTTGTAGGATTTGTCGTCTTTGCCGCTCCCGCTTTCTGCTTTGGCATCATGAACGGCAAACGGATCTTTCCTGTGGTCTTTCCTCCCACCTTTGTAAAAGCGGCTGTCGGTTCCTTGATCTTCGGTGGCTTTGGAGGAATAAGCTTCGGTCGGACGATATCCAAACCTTTGACCATGTCCCTGTATGACAGCCGACCGACTGACCGCTTTTCGCGATTGCCGACACCCAAGCTGCCATTCTTTCCCTGCTTGAGCTTCTGTATTCTTCCTTCGGTGACCCTCGACTGCTTTGTCCTGTACGGTTTGGATGTGTTCCATTCTCCTCTCTTCATCTCTGCGCAGGAATCGCCTCTGGTGTAGTGAATCTCTCTTCCCGCTCTCCTTCCCATGATGGGCCAGGCGGCTTTGACATTCTTGATCTTGGGCGAAAGCGACGGGTCCTCCTTCTTCGTCCATTTCTTGCGCCTAAGGGGTGACGGCAATTCACCGATCTCCGAGGTTGAGAAGCCTTGGAAATCATCTTCCTGTACATGGGAAATAATTTTAGAAAAGTAAAATTAGTGAACTTTATTTTTCGCATACATTATGTAAATATGTAAGTCTTGGTAATTGTCAAAGGTGGAAAGCTGGTAGTACAGTACATCCAAGACCAACCCTCACTTTTTGATGATTTTGCCTGGTATTATAAAATAGTGCTAGAACATACTATTCTCGTTTACATCTTGTGGGGCTCTTGAGCAAACTAAACCACAAAAGAGAAGGAGCGTCTACAAAACCACAACACATACATGTACCAACAAAAACACTGAGCGACCATTTTCCTTTAAGACAGACTTCATGACATCAGGGAATAATTTTCCTCAAATTTTTTGATTAGCAATTTCAGCCGATGGATGAATATTTAAAATGAAATTCTGTACATTTCTATGGAAGAAAACTGCTACACGAAAGATATTTTGTATAGCAGTCATGCAAAAATGCATAGCAAATTGCGATGCGATACCAGGAAAATTATTCCCTGTGACATCAGGCATTACTTTTTTGTTAACTAATCTTACAGCATAGAGTTGTTTCAGCATTTCGAGACACAATGTATAATCTCAAAAATCATGAAAAGTTTGTTCATGTACTGTACCTCAGATAAATCTCTAACATCTTGTTAACAAAGAACTTTCTACATCATAACCTGCATGTACAATACAAACTTTAAGATTTATAATTTTTTTCCTGAGTCATCAGCATCAACACCCTTTTTGATGCAAAAGAAAAGAAATACACAAAGGTAAAAAGAAAAAGGTTTTTTGAAGAAGAAATGCTGATCAAATTAGACCTTTAAATACTCCTATCCTGAATGGGTCTTTAATCAGGAAATGAAGAGGCTCCCTAACAGCATGCAATAAAATGTTGTACTGAGCATATGCCAAGTATTAAAATCAAGTAGCATATTAGTACAGTGTGTGTCAGAAAAAACAACACATTTATCAAATTGTACATGTTTAGAAATAGGAGTTGCAATATTTGATATTTCTGAAATAACCCTGAAAGGCATTCTTTTAAAAGTAGCTTTCCCTGGTTGGTTGACACTTGACAGTAGCAGTCAATCTATATAATTGGTCTGTACTTTATATTAAACAATGTACATGCAGGACTTCTCAAGTTTTCACAAAGCACTGATAACGTCATATCCTCATTCATCCGATTCAAATTAAAAATAACACAATATTCATGTTGATGGCTCTTTATCTGGATAGGGAAGTCTGAAATATTTTAACTCTCTATCTCTCTTCTATTTCATTTCTTTGTAGTTACTTCTCTCACCAACCCTACATGTACATGTAGGCCAATGTTTTTTTATTCTTCTTCTGCAATTCAGTGAAAAAACTGAAAACGATTCGTAAAGTAGATATATGATTACTCCTTTTGCTGATTTTTTACAGCTCCCTTTTAAAACATTTTTTTCTGACTCGCCCTGTAGCGGTTGCAACATTTGTATCCTGGGTCTATATATCAAAAAGCTAAGAATTATATTACATTAATGGCGCAATAATATCCTGCGTTTATTTTTTTCTGACACACCCTGTAGCTCTATGCAACTCTGGTCACCCCTATTCTTATATAGCACCTAGAGAGTACACTAGTGGATTGCATCCTGTTTTGTATCCTGATACAATCCTGTTCCTTCTTACATCATTCTTGACCCTTTGTTCTAGAAGTGAAACAGCCTTTAATTCAGCTACAGTCATGCAGGAAGGTCTATTTGTTGATAGGGGAGGAGGGTGAGGAGAAGGGGGAGAAGGAGGAGAAGGGGGAGGAAGGTGAGGAGAAGGGGAGAAGGGGGAGAAGGGGGAGAAGGGTGAGGAGAAGGGGGAGAAGGGGGGAGAAGGGGGGAGAAAGGGGGAGGAGAGGGGAGGAGAGGGGAGGAGAGGGGAGGAGAGTAGGAGGGGGAGGAGGGGAGGAGGGGAGGAGGGGAAGAGGTGGAGTAGGGGAGGAGGAGAGGAGGAGGGGGGTGGAGAGGAGGAGGAGAGGAGGAGAGGAGGAGAGGAGGAGAGGAGGAGAGGAGGAGAGGAGGAGAGGAGGAGAGGAGGAGAGGAGGAGGGGAGGGGGGAGGAGGAGGAGGGGAGGAGGGGAGGAGGGGAGGAGGGGAGGAGGGGTGGAGAGGAGGAGGGAGGAGGAGAGGAGGAGAGGAGGAGAGGAGGAGAGGAGGAGAGGAGGGGAGGAGGGGAGGAGGGGAGGAGGGGAGGAGGGGGAGAGGGGGAGAGGGGGAGGAGGAGAGGAGGAGAGGAGAGGAGGAGAGGAGGAGAGGAGGAGAGGAGGAGGGGAGGGGGGAGGAGGAGGGGAGGAGGGGAGGAGGGGAGGAGGGGAGGAGGGGGAGGAGGGGAGGAGGGGAGGAGGGGAGGGGGGAGGGGAGGGGAGGAGGGGAGGAGGGGAGGAGGGGGAGGAGGGGGAGGAGGGGAGGAGGGGGAGAGGGGGAGGAGGAGAGGAGGAGAGGAGAGAGGAGAGAGGAGGAGGAGGGGGGGGGGGGGGGGGAGGAGGAGGAGGGGAGGAGGGGAGGAGGTGATCATGGCCGGATAAGCAAATAAGGATCCAATGTACAAAATATAATTACCGATTAGCATAAAATGGCGTTTGCTTGAACTTTAAGTGTCTCTTAATTGAAAAACACTACAAATGACTATTGTCGGAAAGTCAGCATGATTAAAATCATGAGCCCTCGGCACGGGTGAACATTTTTTGTCATGTACATGTAATTGTAAATCATATGTCTGGGGGTCGTTTCTTGAAACTGTCATAACTACAAGAGCTGTCGCTCAACTTGTACGCTAAGTATTTCATAAACTGTCCTTGCCGAGGGACAACTGTAGCTATAACTCCTAGTAGCGACTCCAAACCTGTCATATCCCTTTAGAACGCCATCTCAAGGCAACTTTAACTTTAAATTTATTTTAAACTTATTTCTTGATCTTCAAGCTCTAATTTCACAGATCAGTTCTTATTGGTGTGAAAATAAACACATTACGCAAGCATAAAAACTTTTGTTGTAAGTTTTTAATGCCTAAAAAAGTGAATAACATACTGTACATGTCAATACTATTTGTACATACCTGTACATCAATCTACCATAGAAAAGTCCCTGAAGATCTGCAATTACAGACCCATGAGAAATTGAGAATGAAGATGAATTTTGTGTAGGTATTACTCTAGACATTTCCCCTTTTCAAGCATAACACTGACACAAATCATATCTATTTGATAAATTAATTTTTTAAATGTGAGTCATAAAATATTGTGTTATTATTATTTTCCATAGTAGGAATAAAGACAGGGTCTTCTTTCAATTGGATATGAGTTAAGGTATCCTCTTACTTTCAAATTTGTATTCACTTGTCCAAATTCCAAAGCAACTTTAACCATGAGTTCCATCAACTTTTTAAAAATCTTGAGATGTCATTAGTAAGACATGTTTTTCATGCAAATTTTTGCTGTTTGTATCCTTTGTGCTACCACTCAAAGATTTTTACTTTTTCAAACAGTTTGAGTGAAATTAAGCTTCATATACATCTCCTTCAGTACTTCAGGATAAAATCTGATGGATTAATTGGGGCAAAAACTGTATCTTTTAGCTGATAGTATCAAAATCTTGAATTTGTTGCTCATCATGGTTTTGTGAAACAGGTTTTCTGCTTTTGGACATCTCTGTAGATCGCGGACAAAGATACGACTGTCATGGAGAAAGGACCCCAGTTCATCATCCATCAGGAACACAGTTCCACAATTTCAGTTTAATTCTTGACCCATTTGAAATGTACTGCACGAGTAACTAAAAAAAAAAGAAAAAAAGAAGAGTCCTTCAGCGAACTCTGACAGTAGTTTGCAATGTTTGTCGTGCGCAGGAATGTGTGATTACGTTCACATTTGTAGTATCGTTCTCACAGCTTTCCACACAGGCAAAAAGTCAGGCTTGGTGATATTATTTAATATCATATTTTAAAAATCATTAAGCCCATGCAGCACCCATATAGGACTAGCTAGGTAAACATTTTTCATTTTAAAGAGCTTTTTTGCTGTGAAAAAAAAACCTTGAACAGTTCAATCATGTCATTTTTTTAGGATTAGCGTTTTTTATCCGTTTTTACCATCGCCAACGCGCGTATTGGAAATGAGAATCAATGCTCCTTATTTTGAGTACGCGTCTATCCGCATTTGGGCAGGTCCAAGCTATTTGGATTTGACGTACGGGACATTTAGAGACTTTAAACAAGCGTCCCGTACGTCACGCAGCACATTAATTACATTTAAAATTAATTAAAAAATTGGTCAGAACTAAAACTTTCCACAAATGAACTAGCCCATAATAGCCACAGACTCCTACCAAAAGATAGCCATATAAATAATTTCATCTGTTGTTATTTCTTGTTTAAAGTCTCTAAATGTCCCGTACGTCACAACCAAATAGCTTGGACCTGCCCATTTACAAAGACGATCCTTATTCTCGGACCAGCGCCCCTCCTGCTCACAATGACAAAAATAATAACACTAACAGTAACACAGTAGGCCTAGATCTATTCAGTAACACTAACGTAGAGTCTAACACCTCATTGCATTTGTAATTTTGTGCATGTTTGATTCATGCATGGTCACTGTCACTCGAGTCTCAACACTTCATCATCAAAGTTAGATAGCTGACGATATCCTGAATCTGAGGATTTGCATGCAGCATGAAACTGCAACTTTGCAAGTCAAGATTGAAGACAATGTGAAACTGAAATGAATTGAATGTAGACCTAATTCATTTGAGTTGACACTTGTCTTGACATGTTCCCATGTTCTTAATTCTAATCTTAGTTCACTCATGACAGGTTTTGTAGAAAAATATAGAATATAGCCTAGACTCTATATTATAGGCCGGACATTCATTAAAAACACAGTAAGAGGTAGATCTAGGTGCATAATCCAGTAACAGTTTAATTAGTGTAGGTCTAGGTCTACATGCATTGAATGGTATGTACATTTCTACTACACAACGCATTGCAGTGCAGAGGTTCATTCATTCATTCAACAATACACAACGACAACGACCAACCATCGATTTTCACGCGAAAAATAGACAAAAACATTACATGAATTTACCTCGTCAGAGTCACCAAAAAGATCATAAAACCACTTCAAATTTCTCTGGATGGCTGCTGTACGTGCAAAGAATGCATGCTGACGATTTCTATCTTTTTCTGGAAGATATCGCACCAGTGATCGTCCATATCTGTGGCCAGGCCTCCCTGGGAAACGAAGGCGCGCCATATTGATCTACATAGACTTGTACAGTACATTCCTTTTGCATGCAGTGCAAGTGCAATACGTATACAGTGCAGTGTACAGGAGGGTCAATTAGCGCGGGCCCCTGAACGCGGATATGATATTGATGAACAATGACGTAAAACTCGTCGACTGTCCCCTGTTCCTAAATAATAAATAATACGAGGGTGATAATAAGTAACAATACTAATGATGATGATAATGATGATGGTGAAGATGATTATGATGATGTGGATGATGATATAATAATGATGATACAATTAAAAATAATAATGGTAAATGTTCTGAAATAATGATAATATGAATAATATGAATAATAATAAATTTAATTTATCCTATGTTATGTTTCACTCAACCATAGAGTAATTAATGTGAATACATATTGAAATTATGGAAATACAAACCTCGTTTGAGGATAAAAGGGAAGGGGAAGTCCATCCAGATATTAACTTGGTTTTCATAGAAGCAGGAAAATAAGAGGAACAGGTATATGTGAAAGTTTGAGAAACTATTCCAACGATTAAAAACAAGTTGTATAATATGAATATTCGAAGGGGTAGGCTATACTCAATCAAACACAAATGGGCAATTATACCTTACTGGACATAGGCCTATCTTGCGAGGTCCTCCCCATTTTGATGTACCGTTGTGTAGTTGATGACGGAATAAACTTGATTCATACAGCAATATTTTGACATTTGTTAGAATGGGAGGGGCCGGCTCCCAAGATACGTCGTGCAGAACAAAAATTCTAAATTTTCTTCTTTTTGATCGGAATTTGCTCAACTTTCACAGACCTTTTCCTTTCATTTTCAGTTCTGCTTTGACGCAAAGAGAATAAATTGTTGTATTTGGAACTGTACTGGGCTATTTTGAGCACCTCACTGACTGGGGGAGGCCTGGGTGGCATGGGCACACAGAAGCTTTTACCGGGGGGGGGGGGGGAATTCAATGAATTATTGAAAAATTATTGCATTTTAATTTTGTGGGAACTGCCCCCTACCCTAGCCCCGGCTGCGTACAGTCATGGTTCAGTGGCCAAGCAATGGCCTCGAAACTGTGAGGCCCCGGGATCAAAACCGTGTCGATGTGATATAAGTGCCCTTTTGTGGGGCATTAATCCTCATTACTGTCATTTATGACTTAATTGGATTTTGATTTTATTTTATTTCTGCCATTTTTCCAATTATAATATAACTGAATAACAAAGAACATATACATGTAAGGTATACCTTATTGCATATATACTATATATAGTACAACATATACAAACAATTAAAGTTTCTTCATGTCAAAATGTTTTTTTACATATACATATAATAACGAAAATTAATATTTCCATAACTTATTATCATAAATTTATAGTATTATCCGAACTATTATGTTGGAAAAGTGCAGGAGATCGCAATCATAAGCAAAGTTTGACAAGGATGGCGGCCTCAGGGCGTAGGTCCCCTAGTTAATAAGCATAGTAGCATATGGTTTAGCAGTTTAGCAAAACAAACACTGGCAAATTATTATTCAATAAAATCTAAGAATGTATACTATTATCTAGATCTATTAGGAATAAATCATTATCAAAGTAATTCCATAAATTGGGGTAAAAAAAAATATTCCAACTATATGAGCGACAGTGTAGCTACAGTTGCGCCCGTTATTATAGCAATGCCTAATCGGTGGCATGATCCTCTTTATAACTGAGAGCTGATTTGATGAGACAACAACCTGTCCAGTGACCTTGCAGGGTGGTCACGTGAATTTTACCTCAGTTTTTTGGAGATGCCCCCCCCCCCCTGGCACTCAAGGGGGGGGGGTGCGATTTTTCTGATTTTCGAGGGCCCCCAACAAAAAAACTAACAGAGAGAGAGAGAGAAATAAAGAGAGAGCCTCTAGCTCTAGCCCTGCTGTTGCTCGCCCCTTTCGACGCTACACCACTATATAGAAAGAAAAAGCCGATGTCCTTCCTGAGTATTAATTGTGTGCATTAAATTTGATTGTATTACGAAACTCTTAATCATTGTAGCATATTAGTCTAAGGAGCATTGTAGGCCACGCTACACCCCAGTCTGGAGAAGAGTATATATAGTAACATTATAATTTTTACTTTGTAATTCAACTATTATGACTATATGTTTATAGAATAATGTATTTTGTATTAGCCTGATTCTTTCTTATATATAGTAGGCCTATAATTTGTTTAATATATAGCAATATCATTTCTTATAGTAAAATGCCGTTTGCTAAATACGAACCTGACTACATTATGCTAGATTTATCTTTACATCTTTTAAAGTGTCATTTTCTTTGGTTGTATACTTTATTGTGTTTTATACAGCTCTTCTATTTTGCTCATATGATGTTTAGGAAACTATAGTGCATGGCTAATTCCGATTCATCATACGGCTATATTTCGACGCACAACGCGGCAAGCTCCGATCGATGTCTGTGAATGATAATTTATTGCCATTTTGGCAAGCATGTTCCTAAATTGGTTTCGGAGAAAACTTATGGCTTTCTTTCCCGACTTTCCACAAAGCTGAAAATGCGAACACCGAAGTTAATCGACAGGCCGATCATTCACATGAATGGGTGGATACCGTGATCGAGATTTATTTTTTCGTCCGGCCACCCGTACCGCGGGCCGCGATCGAGGTTTGCACTGAGTTAATTTTTAGTTCGGCATGCAATCGCGCCTACTCAACCACTGTAACGGCACGACTTGTCCGGTGGAAAGGTCGTAGAGTGGTGACGTTTTACGCGTTGAAAATGGATGGTCATTACCCTAGGGTCATTATCATACAGCCCGGATTTTCCCTTCATAAACTTGAATTTACAATTTTCTATTTACAATTTTCTATTCACAATTTTCTATTTCTTATCAAACTAGGCACCGTGTATACTTCGCGCGCCGAGTATGACTACGACCAAGCCCTGAAAAAGCCCCTCAGCAGTACGTGCATGGCAGGTGCATGCAACATACGACGTCTATACAATGATAGTGACCCCGTCACCGCGATGCGAATTAATTGGGCCTTGTTGGTATTTTAAAAACAATTGCTGTACTGGTGAAATAAAAGATCAATACAAAGAATGGATTAACCTAACTACATTTGCTGTAATCCCCTTCACTCCAAACGTACGTGTGCATGCAGGAGAAAAAATATTATCGTGGACCGCGTCTCCGATCGAAGCTGAGAAAAGCTTACACGCAGTACGTATTAGCAATTACTAAAAATGCGCCCACAAAATGTTATTTTTTCGGTTTAAGCTGAATTTCGAAATGTAAATCGCATTGATCAAAAATTCAAATATTCCTGTAATTTTTCTATTACTAATGGTAGTAATGGGGAACTTAGTGTTGAAAAGAAAATTCATATTTTGAAGAAAAAAAGTTTGCGCCGTGCCAAAATCTACGATGAAATTATGAGTTGCGTAATCATAAACAAATCACACGTGCTCTTTGTATACAGCCGAGCGATGGCGAATTAATTCTCAAGCCTTTCAACTCAATTAAGCTCATGATCAAACGTCATTTATTAGATGAGCTAAAGAAACAATCTAACATTCAACGAGCGTGAGATTGGAGGAAATTAGCACCAAATACATACTTCGTCTAACATTATGAGGAAGCGAAAGCTCATAAGCATGTTGAAATTTCTGTGCGCCAGTGCTCATTCCAGGGCCCCCGATACCAGCAACTCAAAGCACGGTGTATTTCAGCGCGAAATGAATCGGGTTTTTTTTAAACGCCCTCTATCTGCCGTTTTTAGCAATACTAGCAGCGGTAAATTGGTTCGGTTCTATAGAATTACGATGGGTTTCGATCCGAATTGAATTGAAATTAATTAAAGCCCGTCTGCAGGGGCGGATCTAGCTTTTTGCTAAGGGGGGTTTGACCCAATGACGATGCAAAGCATCGTCCACGAGCCGCGATTCCTCTCCAGTGTGCGTTTTTTTTTTTTTTTGGCGGCCCAGGGGGGGGGGGGGGGGGGTTTAGACCCCTAACCCCCCGTAGATCCGCGCCTGGTCTGCACTATAGTTTGGTCAGGAGGGATTATACCACCATGATGGTCACTGATAGGTAGTTAGGCCTATCTCATCAACTCAGCTCTCAATTAACATAAGATATAATAGGAGCAAGTAGTGCAGTGGGGCTTTAAATTGCATCATAATGAAAAATGTATAAGATCTTCTACAAAGTTCTCGGGCTCAGATTATGACGGAGGAATCTTTTGTTTCAATCACAGTTTGGGAGTTTCATTGATTTAGGGATCTTATTTTTTTTCTAATCAGTCCTAATATGCCATATTTCTTGTTTCATTTTGCTATTGAAGCCATATTGTCATTAATTAGTAGGCCGCGGTATTTTTTCCTATCCTGTTTTAATACTATTCGAGTATTCCTAATGCAAATGCCTCAGTAAGTTAATCGTGTGATCTAATCCCATCCCCCCCCCCCCAAAAAAAATATATATATATATTTTTTTTTAAATCAATAAAACAAATATATAAACTATGAAATAGGAATGAAGCGATTCTCTCATCTTATATTGCCCTCGGCTTACTAAAAAAATACAATGTTTCAGTTGTAGAGGTTCCGGATGCTATGATAAATAGAACGTTTGAAATTAAAATAGTAAAAATGATAATAAGATAATAAAGTTCATCATCATCATTATTATAACAGCAACAATGATAATAATAGTAATAACAATAATGATAACAATGATATTAATGATAATGATTAATAGTGATAATGAGAACCATAATATTGATACTAATAATAACAATAATGCAAAGAATAATGATGATATCATCATCATCATCATAGGCTAATAAATATTTTTTCAAACCAAGGAAAGCCTCATCAGCTTAAAATTTACTATTCTTCTGAGGAACCTGCAAACATTGTTTATGACCCCCCCCCCCTCCCTCACCTGCAATTTATTGAGAGAAGTGGCAAATGTGGGTCATATATTGTCTTGTCAAATGACTCAATTACTTGCTTGCAAATTATAAAGAA